CTAAAGAAATTATACAAAGGTACTGGCAATAATGGGTTCTGAACCCAGAATTGTCTTCTCCAGGATTCCATCATGACCCCACCGTACTCCTTCCTATGTGGAAAGTAGAACATCCATGCCAGGGTAAACACAATAATACTTTCTTTTCAGGATCATTAAGCAGTTTTCCTACAATGTCAAGGTGATTAGGCAAGCATTTCTTCTGTATTACAGAGGGCAGTGTGATGAAAGCAAGTGAGCAATGCTGTCATTCTGGAGAGTGTTGCTGACTGAAGGGTGCACAGCCCTAGACACTAAGACAGACATTTAGAGGAGGTTCTGGCAGTTTTAGAATTGCAATTATATAATATGATGAAGAATAAATGGAAGCCTCCCTTTGTTTCCACATGATCCCATTTCTATTTATAAACCCTGAGTGATAGCTGGAGGATTTAAGAATGTTTTTCAGATTCTGCAGCCTCAATAGGGATGGCAAACTGCACTTCAGACTACCAAATATAAGAGATTCTTGGCCCTTTGCACCTGCTTCAACCAGAGCCGATCTCTTTGATCTCATTAAGCTTTCCCTGGAAAATGAAAGTCTGAATGAATGAATGTGCACTCTTGCACAGTGTTTGTGTGGAGACAGATTCTGTCTGTATTGACATTCAGTAGGCATGAAAATGAAAACAAATTTGTGGTTTTTTTCTCCTTCTGAATTTGACAGCCAAGTACCAAGGGCAGCCCCATGCAGGTTCAAACCCTGCACTGTCCACATAGTGACAGCATCTAACACTGCAGAGCAACAGACTGTGGAGGAAGTGGTCCTCTGAGCTGCAGACACTTCCCAGCTGGTCAGTGTCTCAAGCCAGAAGGCCATGCCCATCTCCTCTGCACTGTGTCCTCCGAAGCTCTTCCCTCCAGGCTTTCCAAAAGCAAGCCACCAAGTAGAAGAAAGCTCTGTAAATAAGAGTGTCTACTGGGGACCAAAGCTCCCAGGGGTGTTTGCATTTTAACTAGCATGGTTGTTACTCAATTAAAATATTGCCTAGAGTACACAGAGATGGTTTTATGCCAGGAAGCTTCTCTTTTCTGGTGTTTTCTGTATAGCCTGGGCTGTTAGCACCCTAACTACTAGCTACAACCAAACTCTAGGTTTGGTCCAGATTTAGATTCTGGTTGGGTTTGTGTATGTAACTAAAAGATGACTAAGTGGAAGGGCCAAGATTCCCAGGCAATGTTTCTTATTTCATTATAAGACTTGTGCACTCTACCGTATGATCCACTTGCGCGTTCCAGCTCATTAACAGTTGTTAAGTGCCTTGAGAGCAAAGTTTGAGTTTACATCCTCCAGAGGACTGACTTTCCATCAGAGCAGGAGAGGGAGATAGTTTAAGGCCATATGATTTATCAGTGACAAGACAGGAATAGTTTCTTGGTGTCGTATGTGAGTTTCTCTCTTAACCACTCTCCCACATTCAGCCATCTCTCAAGGCATAAGGAACAGATCCAAAATAGAGCACCATAGGGCTTCCTTTTTCTCTTTGGTGTGTGGGTGGGGACTTGAACAGTGCTCATTAGGCTGTATTTGCTGCTGCATGTAGTAGTATAACCTGAGTCTCTCACTGATGGAGGAAGGTCATTGGTTAAATAAAAAGAAACTGCTTGGCTCTCATTGGTTAGAGATAGGTGGGAGGAGTAAACAGAACAGAACACTGGGAGGAAGAGAAAGTGAGCTCAGACTCCACAGCTCTCCTCTTGGGAGAAGACGCCTCAGAGAGACGCCATCCTCTCCTCTCCTGGGCAGACGCACGCGATGAAGCAAGCCACCAGGTTAGACATGCTGAATCTTTCCCGGTAAGACCGGTGCTCACAGATTATTAGAGATGGGTTGATTGGGATGTGAGAATTAGCCTGTAAGGGCTAGAGCTAAAGGGCCAAGCAGTGTTTAAATGAATACAGTTTGTGTGTTGTTATTTCGGAGCATAAGCTAGCCATGTGGGCAGCCGGGGTGCTGGGGACACAGCCCCGCCGCCCCTATTACTACATCTCGCTGACCTGGCAACAGCTGTGATGGACTAAAAGACTCCAGAAAAACATTGTAACATGCCCAGGGTCTTGGTTCTTCTCTTGTGATTTTACTTCTCCATGAGTCTCTTTTGGATGCTCTAGCCTGAACAGCCATCATGAGCCTCCTTTAGGGAAGACAGAATTTGCCAGGCTTCTTAAACTTCCCAACTTGACATAGTTTGACTTTTTGTAGTCTCTGTATCAAGGCTAGTGAGGCAATACAGATGCAAGAGCTAAAGAGGGATTCTTGCAAACTTAGAAGTGAGGCCACAGCACACTAAGAGAGACAAGGTATGCGGTGCCATCTGTACACACTGACTACAGCTATCACAGAGCAAGACACACACAGCCTTCCTTCTTTAATGTCTGTAGTAATCTTACAGAACAGGTTCAGGCCTATGAAAAGAGACAAAGAAAGGGAGAGAAAAGAGGCCTGAGACAGACCATCCTTTTTTCACCTCGATGCCCAGTGGAACCGGATAGGAAATGTCTTCCGTTAGCATCCTTCAGTTGAGCTTCTGGTGCCATGTGTCCTAGTTTAGGAGCAGGAGGAGCTGTGGAACTTGGTAGGATACATAATGAACATGGAAAGTGCTTGTATAATTCTACAGTAGATATTCCGTGGTTCACTTTTTGAGCACTGCTATGTCTGACTTTGTGTCAAACATTTCAATGCATGTTGCTAAGACCTCTTGAGCTTGCAGTTGAAATCAGTGCTTTTCAGTGCTTTTTTTTTGTCATTTTCCTTCATTTATGAATTTACAAAAATTTAAATAGTTCCAATATCATACAAAGGAATCACTAAATGTTAGTGGGTACAGGTTTGTTAGCGTCCTATAATAAGCAAAAGCTGTGTTGAAGCATAATTGTGATATCTGTGGAATTTGAGCGCATTTACTTATCTGTGGAGAATGGCATGATTTGTTTTTGCCATAAAGAGCTTTTCTAATAACTTTCTTTTTTTATTTTATTTTATTTATTTATTTATTTTTTTTTATTGAGAAAAGGAAAAAAAAAAATTTCCTCCTCCTCCCAGCCTCCCATTTCCCTCCCCCTCCTCCCACCCTTCTCCCCCTCCTCCCACCCTTCTCCCCCTCCCCCCACTCCTCTCCCCCTCCCTCTCCAGTCCAAAGAGCAGTCAGGGTTCCCTGCCCTGTGGTAAGTCCTAGGTCCTCCCCCCTCCGTCCATTTCTAGGAAGGTGAACATCCAAACTGGCTAGGCTCCCACAAAGCCAGCACATTACGTAGGTTCAAAACCCCGTGCTTTACATGTCTTCCAAATGCAGTACACCTACAGGAGACCTTTTCAACCATTCATTTCCACGCTACCTACCAGTCAGATTATAATTACTCACTTTAAAAAAGTAAAAGAAATGCCTCAGTTGGTTTCTCTTTCCATTTTGTTAATGGCACAGAGGAATTTTATATAAAAAGAAAAGCATCTAAGACTGGAAAATCCATTTTCTCTCCTGTGCCAGCCCTGGCAACATCCTTTCTTTTCTAGTATAGCTATCCTGGCTAAAATAGCCCAAATTACAAAAATTATTCCCTTTCTCTGAGAAAAACTCACAGAATCTTATAGATTTCTCTAGGAAATATTTTACAGTTGTAGACAGAGACTGCTCATTTGTTTTCCAGCTGCCCAGACCTGAAATAATCACACAGAAACTGTGTTAATTATAACACTGCTTGGCCAGTAGCTTATGCATATTTCTAGCTAACTCTTACGTCTTAAATTAACCCATTTTTATTATTTTGTATTTTACCACAAGGCTTGTGGTTTACAGTAAGGTTCTGGCTGGCGGCTCATGTCTTTTTCCTTCAGAGGCTACACGGCTTCTCTCCTGACTCCACCTACTTTCTCCTCTAGCTCTGCTTAGAATTCCCACCTTGCTCTATTCTGTCCTGTAATAGGTCCAAGCAGATTCTTTATTCATTAATCAATAAAAGCAACACATAATACAAAAGGACATCCCACATCATGTTTCCTTAAAAGGACTTTAATCTTTGTGTCCTTGTTGTTTGTGTAGTTTAATGACTCAACATAGAGGACCTATCTCTAGAAACAAAATACCCCAGCTCTTTGTCAAGGGAGGAAGTATAAGACTAACTGCTTACCAGCTGCTGAGAAAACTCACATTGTAAGACATTTTCATTGTCTAGACAATGATGAGGTTTCTGGTATAAACAGGTTTCTCAGATGTGTGAATATGAAGAAAAATGGAATTTCCTACAAAGTATGAGCTAGTCAAACTCAGTTTCATCTTTTAATTTTTATTGCTCAATATTTTGAAAGATATTAGATGGCCAACACAAAATGAACTTTGTGTTTTGTGCTGTTGTAGACTTTCTATTTCATATTGGTTTAGCATTTATGATTTATTGGGTTTTGGTTGTTGTTATTGTTTGCTTCTTTTGTTTTTAATTTTTGTGTCTTTTGAAAGAGAAGCAGAGAGAACATAAAACTGGTGAGTAGGGAGGTGGAAAGGAGCCAGAAGAAGCTAGGGGAGGGGAAATATGATAAAAAAATTATATGAAATAAAAATATATTTCTGTACTTTTATGCAAAGTTTGTATGTTTACAGTTAGCCAGAGCCAGAATTCGATTAGGAATACTTGGGTTTTTTTTTTTTTTGAGGGGGTTGTCTCTGTTCTACTGTTTTTCTTGGTGATGGTAGTAGTGGCCTTTCTTTTATCTGTTTCCCCCCACCCCTTAAGTTTTGTCTATATAAGGAGGCTGGGTGTGGTGGCACAGGCCTTTAATCCTCAAACTTCCTAAGTTTGGGAGAGGCAGGTAGTGTTAAGGCCAGACTGGCCTACATAGAGAGGTCCTTGATCTCAAGGGCTACAAATACAAAGTAAGGCCACATTTCAAAACAAAACAGACAATGTAGGATCATATGTAGTACTTAGTAGTTTTTTTTTTAATCTTTATTTCTTTTTTTTTTAAGGAAGAGGAATTGGAAGCCCAGATTTCCTTCCTCCAAGGACAGCTGAATGACCTAGATGCTATGTGCAAGTACTGTGCCAAGGTTATGGACATGCATCTTGGTAAGTGAGCTGTGTTAGCCTTGAAGTAATGACAATCAGAGAAGTGACGGTGGCACTACTGTGTACTAGGCACATATTAAGCTCTTGTTACATGAATCTTCTCATTTACTTCTCACAAAAACCATTGCGGTAGAAGTATTGTCACTACCCACATTGTCCTGATGAAGAAACAAGCACATGAAGTAAAATGTCCCAAGATTAAACAACGAGTAAACAGAGTAGGAATTCAAATCAGTGGAAAACAAATGTATCTTTCACCTCCTGACTGCCACAGTGTCTTTATAGAGAGCTGAATCCCTCAGACCCATAGGATGAGCTTCTGAAATCAGTCTGCTACAGTCAGTCACACAATGCTAACTGATGATGCTTTCTGTAGTTATAAAACCATACCTGTAGGGCCTCAGAACTAGAAATGTCCTAATTAATGTTCTGATTACATACGAGTCATAAATGTGCCACATCTGGAGGTCTTCTGAGATTACTCAATTTGTGACGGTCCTGGGATTAATACTCAAATTGGTCTGCTGAAGCATTTTGTATGACTGCAGTAATTACATGCCAAAACCTCTGTTGTGGATGTTATCACTTGTTCTTAGCCCATTTGTAGTGTGCTGCTCTAGGGTCACATGGGAAATCATCAGCACAACCAAGTGTCTGTCTCTCTCAATCTTTCTCTCTCAATCTCTCTCTCTCAATCTCTCTCTCTCAATCTCTTTCTCTCAATCTCTCTCTCAATCTCTTTCTCTCAATCTCTCTCTCAATCTCTTTCTCTCAATCTCTTTCTCTCAATCTCTCTCTCAATCTTTCTGTCTCAGTCTCTCTCTCTCTCTCTCTCTCTCTCTCTCACACACACACACACACACACACACACACACACACACACACATCTCTGATGGGAAAGCAGGGGTGTTCACCAAGACCTTCTCCCACCACCAGTTCCTCTGTATGTAACCCATCCTTGGAGTCTGCCCTGGATGTGACCTCCTAACTTCAGAGCCCAGCAAGCTGTTTCTTAGGCCTATAAGGCTGAGAGTCTATAACAAGTGACCAATGTAGCTGTCACTTAGATAGCCTAAACCATGTTAACTTCAGGTGAGCAATAACATCTTTCCACTGTCTCAAGATGTGGAAAGATGCCAGTATAAGTGACTGACTGGCATGTATTACCACATGAGGCAACTGGCTGAGCCATAGCCTACTCTAACTTCTCTTTTCAAGCCTTTATTGGGGAAAAGGTGACAAAGAAACAATGAGAAAAGCTCCTGGTAGATGATGGACAAAGAGGCTGAAGCCTGTCACACCCACAACAGCAGCCTAGCAGTGTGGCTCCTCTTCTTCCAGACCCTTTCTACACTTGGTACTTGATCATCTTAAAAGTGCATGTGGGGAGGAGTGGAACTGAACCACCTACCTAGGCTGGAGTGGGCCAGAGAAAGCAAGCTCCATGGGAGCCAGGAGCCAATCCAGTCCCAGGACACTGGTGGACCAGGACTGAGCCAGCAACTTGGTCCAGAGTAGACCTGAGACAACAAACTCCACCTGAACAGGTACAGGGGAGTAACTGCTGAGTGAGTGAGCCAGAGCCAGAGACTACTGAGGGTCCGGTCATGAATCTGGGACCTTCAAGGGAGTAGACCTAAGCCAGGACCCCTGTGGGTCTAGGCATGAGTCTAGGACCTCTGAGGAACTAGGCCTGAGCTAGGTCCTCTGCAGTTCTGGGCACGCCAGAGCCTGGGAACTCCAAGGGAATAGACCAGAACCAGAGACCATTGTAGGACCAACTCAGAACCAAGGACCTCTGCAGGAGGGGATCCAGACCTGAATTTACAGAAACAGGTCAAAGCCAGTAACCTAGGCCAAAGTAGGCCTGAGACACCAAACTCCAAAGGAGTGGAACAAAGTCCAGGAGCACTGAGAAATCTCCAGGAACACAGAGTGACCAATGGGGTAACCAGAACTGTGGCACTGACTGTACAACAATGAACAACCATCTGAGCTTTGGATTTATTGGCATCTAGAAAATTAATCAACAGAATCTCAAACAGCTCCAGCCGCACCAATTAGGGAAAAGATGAGTAGAAAAGCTAAGAACACATGCAACACCACAAAGAACAATACAACACCAGTAAAACCTAAAAACCCTATAACAGCAAGACCTGAACAGCCAAATATAGATGAAGCAGAAGAAAATGACCTAAAAAATAACTTCATGAGAACGTTTGAAACTCTTAGAGAGGAAATGAGAAATTCCCTCAAAGAAATGGAGGAAAAGACAAACAAAAAATTGGAAGACATCAGCAAATTCCTTAAAGTAAACCAAGAAAAAGCAATCAAACATATGAAAGAAACTATTCAAGACTTGAAAACTGAAATAGAGACAATAAAGAAAACACAAGCTGAGGGAATTATAGAAACAGAAATCATGAGAAAGCAATCAGGAACCACAAACACAAGCGTAAACAGCAGAATACAAGAGATGGAAGAGAGAATCTCAAACATTGAAGATACAATAGAGGAAATATACTCATCAATCAAAAAAAAACATTAACAAAAGCTTAACCCAAAATATCCAAGAAATATGGAACACCATGAAAAGACCAAACCTAAGAATAATAGGTATAGAAGAAGGAGAAGAAGTTCAACTCAAAAGCACAGAAAATTAACAAAATCATAGAAGAAAACCTTCCCAATATAAAGAAAGATATGCCTATGAAAATACAAGAACCTTACAGAACACCAGATAGAGTGAATCCACTGAATCCCCTCTCCACTTAATAATCAAAACACTAAACATATAGAGCAAAGAAAGAATATTAAGAGCTGCAAAGGAAAAAGGCCAAGTAACATATAAAGGCAGACCTATCAGAATTACACCTGACTTCTCATTGGAGACGATGAAAGCCAAAGGTTGTGGTGCAGACGTTAAGAGACGACAGATGCCAGCCCAGACTACTATACCCAGAAAAACTTTCAGTCACCATAGAAGGACAAAACAAGATATTCCATAACAAAACCAGATTTAGCCAATACCTAATCACAAACCCAGCCCTACACAAAATACTAGAAAGAAAACTTCAACCCAAGGAAGTTGGCTTCACCAACAAAAACACAGACAATTGATGGTCTCATAGCAGCAAATCCCAAAGAAGGGGAAAACACACAAATGAACATCACCAACAGTGAAAACTAGATTAACAGGATATAGCAATCTCTGGTCATTAATATCCCTTAATATAAATGGACTCAACTCACCTATAAAGAGGCACAGGCCAAAAGATTAGATACGAAAACAGAATCCATCCTTTTTCTGCATACAAGAAACACATCTCAACCTCAAAGACAGACATTGTCTCAGAGTAAAGGGTTGGGAAAAAAAATATTCCAATCAAATGGATGTAAGAAACACGCAGTGAAACTATCCTAATATCTAACAAGACTTCAAACTAAAATCAATCAAAATAAACAAAGAAGGATATTTCATATTAGTCACAGGAAAAATTCATCAAAAGTAAAACTCAATACCAAACATCTATGCCCCAAATATAAGGGCACCTTCATATGTAAAAGAAAAACTTCTAAAGCCTAAATCATACATTAAACCACACTCACTAATAGTGGGAGACTTCAGCGCTCCGCTCTCACCAGTGGACAGGTCAGTCAGACAAAAAACAGAGAAATAAGAGAACTAACAGATGTTACGTCTCAAATAGACTTAGCAGACACTATAGAATATTCCATCCAAACACAAAAGAATATACCTTCTTCTCAGTGCCAAAATTAAATAAAGACCAGATAAGCAAATTAAACAGACCTATAATGCCTGAAGAAATACAGTCATCAAAAGTCTCCAAAAAAAGCCCAGGACCAGATGGCTCCTGCTCAGAATTCTATAAGATTTTCAAAGATGAACTAATACCAGTACTGCTCAAATTATTCCACACAGTAGAAACAGAAGGAACCTTGCCAAACTCTTTTTATGAGGCTACAATTACCTTGATACCCAAACCACAGAAAGACATTACTAAGAAAGATAATTACAGACCAATCTCACTCATGAACATTGATATAAAAATACTAGGTAAAATACTGGCAAATTGAATCCAAGAACACATCAGAACCATCATCCACCATGATCAAGTCAGCTTCATCCCAGAGATGCAGAGATAGTTCAACATACAAAAATCTGCCAACGTAATCCACCATATAAACAAACTGAAAAATAAAAACCACATGATCATCTCATTAGATGCCAAAAAAGCTTTTGACAAAATACAACATCCCTTCATGATAAAGGTCTTGGAGAGAGCAGGGATACAAGGAACATACCTAAGCATAATAAAGGCAATATATAGCAAGCCAACAACCAACATCAAACTAAATGGAAAGAAACTCGCAGTGATCCCACTGAAATCAGGAACAAGACAAGGTTGTCCACTCTCTCCCTATCTATTTAATATAGTTCTTGAGGTCCTAGCTAGAGCAAGAAGACACCAAAGGAGATCAAGAGGTACAAATCAGAAAAGAAGAAGTCAAACTCTCACTATTTGCTCATAATATGATAGTTTACATAAGCAATTCCAAAAATTCTACCAAGGAAATTCTACAACTCATGAACACTTTCAGCAATGTAGCAGGATAAGAGATTAACTCAAAAAAATCAGTAGCCCTCCTGTACACAGATAATAAAAAGGGTGTGAAAAAAATCAGAGAAACATCACCATTCACAATAGCCACAAATAGCATAAAATATCTTGGAGTAACTCTAACCAAACAAGTAGAAGACTTGTATGACAAGAACTTTAAGTCTTTAAAGAAAAAAAATTGAAGAAGACACCAGAAAGTGTAAAGATGTCCCATGCTCTTGAGTAGGTAGAATTAACATAGTAAAAATGGCAATCTTACCAAAAACAATCTACATATTCAACACAATGCCCATCAAAATCTCAGCAAAATTCTTCACAGACCTCAAAAAAAATGGTACTCAACTTCATATGGAAAAG